GGTGTACCCCGCCCCTTACACAGTGATTGCTGGACATGGGCACTGGCGACCCCCGTGATCCAAAATGGAAGAAGCGGGTAAAAGATAATGGATGGATGGATGGATGGATGAATTTTCAGGTGTACATCTGTATCAACCTCTTAACATGTGGGCCAAAATTAAACCATTCTTAAACTGGAGTCTTGGGCCACACAAAATAATTCCAAAGGTCCACAAATGGCCCGCGGTCCATTCTTTTTAAACCCTCAAGCCTAGCTTCTCAGAACAGTAACCTGTTCGTCCACAGGTGGTGTTAACTACAAACGCTGAGACATGTTGAACTTTGTTTATTACACCCTCCGAGGGTTTTCCAGGGCTCAAACGTACAACCCTGTTGGCTTTCTACATAACCAACTCTACGCTACAAAGCAACATGGCTGCCACCATGGATCACTGAAAACACAATGCTTTTCTCCACTCTTCCAACTCCTCTGTCATCTGAATTTGCCTACTTGCTTTGTTTTGGTGTAGAGTGCTTTAGAAAGTATCCTGTTTGTTGTCTGCTGTAGCTTTTAGCAGAAGATAATTGCTGTGGGTAATATCCTCTGGCCTGTCGTACACTTTGAACCCAGACACCTTTAATGTAGTGGTTTGGCATTAATGGTTTTAACGTTACGCCACTAACGTGACTATTTATGTGACAGAGGAGTGATAGTGTAGTTGCATCCAGCTATCCCGCTGTGCAGGTGAGACCTCTGCAGTTGCTCATACATGCACACACACGCCTCGGGCTGCTTTTCAGTGTAACATGAAGTGTCCACACACAACAGAATCCAGGACCGGCTCTTTCTGTGTCACTTTGTAATGGGATTGTAATTGGATATTTCTCAAAGAGCCCCCGGTAAGATGAGGTTTGAGTTGCAGGGAAGACATGATATAAAACTGACAGTGAGAGTGAATGTTGCTTTGGTGTGTGGGTTTTTGTTTCTTTGGAAGGGAATTCATCCATCCATCCATTTTCTTTACCCGTTTATTCCATTTTGGGTCACGGGGGTCGCTGGTGCCCATGTCCAGCAATCACTGTGCGAGGGGCGGGGTACACCCTGGACGGGTCGCAAGTCCATCACAGGGCCACATAGAGACAAACGAGACAAACAACCATTCACTCTCTCATTCACACCTAGGGACAATTTAGAGTTACCAATCAGCCTAATATGCATGTTTTTGGTCTGTGGGAGGAAACCGGAGTACCCGGAGAAAACCCACGCATGCACGGAGAGAACATGCAAACTCCACCCAGAAGGCCCCTGGACCGGGGTTTGAACCAGGGACCTGTTCGCTGAGAGGCAGCAGGCTCTACCAGTTGCGCCACCGTGCTGCCGGAAGGGAATTCAATTCAGTTTATTTCTGTAGCTCCAAGTCACAACAGAAGTCGTCTCAGAGCGCTGTACAAAAACATTCACATACATAAAAAGCTAGTTAGTAAAAGTTCTCTATCTAAGGAAGCAGCAGACTGTGTTGAATCTTCACTTCGTCAGTCTTCCTTCCTGAGCAAGCACAAAGGAGACAGTGGAAAAGAAAAACTCCCTTTTAACAGGAAGAAACCTCCAGCAGAACCAGGCTCAGGACAAGTGGCCATCTGCTTCTAGCAGGTGAGGTTTGAGAGGACAGGAAGGAGACACAAACACAGAATGGCAGGTCCAGGTGTACTTTATATAGGAAGAAAGACAAAAAGAACATGTTAAGATAGAAATAATTACAAACAGGTAGAGTAGAGTAAGTAAAGACAGTAGCAGAGTGAGGGATTATGGTCAGTTTGTCCTCCAGCAGTCTAAGCCTACAGCATAACTAAGGGACAGCTCTGGAAACCCAAGCACACCCCAACTATAGGATTTATCAAAAAGGAAAGTCTTCAGCCCAGCCCTAAAACTGGACAATGTGTTAGCCTCATAATTTGGTTCCACAAGAGAGGAGCCTGATAACTGAACGATCTGCTTCCCATTCTGGTTTTGGGAACTCTAGGAACCACAAGTAAGTGGAGTCTGAGAACGAAGTGCTCTGTTAGGAAAATATGGAACGGGGAGGAAGAGCTCACCGGGATAGCAGGAGGTTGGCATGGCGGAGACCCAGGCATCCTTAGCAAAGGTTGTGCCGGTCAAAGCTGGACATCTTTTCCTTCTTCGTTCTTCTGACAGTGCTAGCTAGCTGGCTGAAGAAAAAATGGGAGCCGATTGCCCGGTCTCACCGTAATTTATACGGACCGGGGGTGGGGCCCACACAGCCGGTGGGCGTGGACTAAAGTTTTCAGTGCTGCGCTGCGAACGAAGGGATAAACCCACTAGCGATAGCCTTAAAGGGCAAAGCCTATACGAAATAGAACTGGACAGATATGATCTCTCCTACTAACTCCAGTTAAGACTCTGGCGGCAGCATTTTGGATCAACTGAAGACATTTTACGATAGACAAAGCTTTTTCCTTAGTTTACACATAACCCAGAAGAAATTTGATAGTCCGCCTGCTTTCGAGGCCAAACGGGGGAGTCAGATTCACATAAGCCCCAATTGTTGATTTTCTTCAGCCAGACTGTTTTTTTTTGTCGTCAGCCTTGAGTCCTGTTGGTACTTTTCAGATCCAAAATGGCCAGAATTGTGGGCATTACACTGATTCGTGCTATGAGCCTCCTCCAAGGTCATCTCCAACATGCTGGCGAGTCCTAGAAGCCGCAGATGGCCTGCGATTCTCACAAATCACTGCCATCTTATGGTTTAGCTCGTAAATCAGCTGATTTTGAGTACTCTTAGCACGAATCAAACCTTCACACAGATTTGGCAGTTCTGTCATGACAGAAACTGCTGCCACTATCATCCTCAAAAGCTGATAATATAGGAACCCGCCGATGCCAAAAAGCAGAAACCCTGCTATCATGAATCCAATTATAGTAGACCCTCAGTACTTCATGGTTCGTTTATCGCGGACTCCCTCTATTGTGGTTTTTCAAAATAAAAATGGACATGACAGGGGGCGGCTGTGGCTGAGTGGTTGGAGCAGTCGTCCTCCAATGCGAGAGTTGGGGGTTCGAATCCACCAGCAGTCACATGTCAAAGTGTCCCTGGGTAACACACTGAATCCCTCATTGTCTCTGATGTGTGTCCCATCAGTGTATGAATGTGATAAAGCTCTGATTAGTCTCTTTAGAATGATTTGTTCAATTAGCTTTGTATAGATCTAGTAGAGTGCTGTATGAATGGGTAAATGAGGACACAGATTCTAGTGTAAAGCGCTTTGAGTGTCTTGAAATAAGATAGAAAGGCGCTATATAAGTACAGTCCATTTACCTGACACACAGTTGGCTAATTGATGGATGAGCAGCAAAATGGAATTTTAAATAAATTATTTTTAAAAAAAATTAGCACTTGCTGCATCTTTGTGCAGCCCACAGCTGCAGAAAAAGCATCCTCCTGCCTTTGTGCAGCCCTTACTGCAGGATAAGCTTCCTGCTGCAGCTGATCAGCTCTTTCTCCGTGCAGAGCAGAGAAGTGGACGTGGCCCAGACTGCTTGCAGGTGGCTGAGTGCAGCGTGGCAGAGAGGAGGCAGAGAGCTAAAATCATGACATTGTTTGCTCTTTAGAGTGTTTAGACTTTATAAACATTGATTAGAATATTGCAAGAGTGTGGGAAGGGTTTAAAACGACACATTAGCTCCAACACCCCCCACAGGTCTATGATGTATCCTGCAGCATCTCAGCGGGACATTAGGGCTCTCTAGGACCCTGTCATTTTTTTGAAAAGATTTTGTCGACTGCGTTGAAAGTCCAGCTCACGGTCGTTAAGATGATGATCCTCCTTTATCATGTGAACAGCCAGTTCTGGATGTCAGCAACAAACTGGTTGATCCACTATGAGCAGGAGATATTTATAAGACTGAGTTTGTTGCAGCTCCTCAGACTGAAGAAATATTTTGGATAAAAGATGAAACATTTCAACAAGTTTTTTTTTAGTTTTTTTTTATCTGTCCAGAGGACCTGACTTCACTTTGTCAGATTTTTCTACCTGGATTACTGAGCGTGCAGGAGAGCAAGACAGTTGCTTTTGTCAGCAAAATGTTAAGGATGTTTACCAGCGCTGGTTGTGATTCTCTGAAAGCCTTTTCACACCTTCTTGTGATTTTCCTTTAACCCATTTTGCTGCATCATTCAGTAGCCTGTTGCTTAAAGTCTAAATATTATCAAGCAGAACACACGTCTTGCACACATCCTCCCTTCTCACATCTGCAGGTTTTACTCATCTTTACCTTGGAGATGCTTTGACTCCGAAAGCTTCTTAAAACTAGAAAGCCAAGCGGCTGCCATCCTTTCTGTCTCAAACCACTTATTAATTACACAATCTGTGGTACCCGCCTGTGGATATTAACCAGCTCAACAAGCTAGCAGGGAGGCTTAATTAGATCAGACAGGCAGATATTTTGGTGTGGTTCGTCTGACGGCTGTTCTGAAATACTGCTCAAAATGTCCCTGTTTGAATCTCTCATTTCAATGCTTCAAGGAAAAGTTTTATTTGTAAATCAGGATCTAAGAAAATGAGCAAATTTAAAGATCTGGTTTAGTTTTTCTCTCTTGTTGGGTCTGACAGAGAGGCAGTTGTGTTTTCCAGAGCACCTCTCAGAGAAGCCCAGGAACTCTGACAGAAGTTGCTTTCACAACAAGACAGTGTCCTGAACTGACTGACAGATCATGAGCTGTCAGGACATGACATTTTTGCATCAGCCTGGAGGAAAAATAGTGCATGAAATGAAAAAAAGTAAAAAGAAGTGCATGTAGTGCAGCCTGACAGGCTCTTTTACTGTTTGGGCTCTAAACTGTCAACACTGGCTTCCTGTCGTCGTGACTGCTCATCACTCTTTTCCCTGACACCCAATGAAATCCCTGGATGTCTGACGCCCTGACTCTCTCTTCCGTTGTGTGTTTGAGCGCTATGTCTGCTTCGAGCTTTTCAGTAAATCAAACAAAATGTGTCTCAGCAGGAGAGGATCCTGAGACGAGACGTATGAGGACAGTGAAGAACATCGCTGACCTGCGGCAAAACCTGGAAGATACCATGTCCAGTCTACGGGGGACACAGATCAGCCACAGGTAGGCCAACAGATGCAACTGCCCACTACTTAAGATTAGATTAATGGTACTGTAATGTGTGTTTTACATCCACAATTGTTACTTCCATTCATTGGTGCACTTGGTTAACACAATGGAGCGGGCAGTAATCAAAGAATTTCACCTGCAGTTTGTGATGGAACAACTGCCAAATTGAGCGTACCATACAAAATAGCAAAAGTACTCTAATAGGAGTTGACAGAACTTTGTCTTATAGGGTCGTCTACACAATAACAGTTTTTTATCCTTTGAGCCTTGCATCCACAAGAAAACTTTTTATATTATTAGAAATAACAAATAAAAAGGTAATTTTGGTGAAAACTGTGTCCCCGTGTGGACAAGGCATGAAGGTAAATATATTTCCTGTTTGCTAAAACACTTTGGCGTTCTGCTAAGTTTCTTTGTCTGACTTAAGATTCAGAACAATTTATGCTCCGAGTCAAAGACTTTAAATTTTAGGGGGTTTAACTGCAACTAAAATGCAAAGGTACCACGTCTTTTATAAATGAACATTATTAATCAGATACAATATAAATATCTCCTCCATGTTGGATGAATTGATCTAAATCGGGCATCACCTTCCTCACCAGCTTTACAATTCAACCTTGATCTATACAGGTTAGTCTCGTTGAGTCACGAGGACTCGACGTAATGACTTAATGTTTTTATGTTATGAGTGCTTAGTGTATATTTAGTTGATGTTTTTCTTAGTTCATATCTTAGATGTTATTACTGTTTTTCTTTTACATTTTATTGTTGGATGTAACTGGGACCCTGTGTACATAATTTCAATCCACCACATGTACCACATGAGGTGCGAATGATAATAAAGAATCTCTGACTCTCTCACTCTGACTCATTTTCAAAAGACCTGTTTTAAACAGACAACATAAAGTACAGACAACAATAATTCATCAAAAAGCAATAACAATCAAATAAAAGAAGTTATAAAAAGTCAAATCAAGATATCATATAAAACAAGGTAAAATACTAAAACAATAGCATATTTGTATTGATATTTCCACTGACATAATCAAATGTTTAATATTCCTTAATGAAATCAAAATCCATATCTTCAGATCTTATTGCAAGGTGTTCCAGGTTATAGGAGCAGAGTAAGAAAAGGGTTTTTGCCAAGTTCAGTTCGCATTGAGGGGACACTGCAGGTAATGAATCCCTGAGACCGCACGCTGTAACTGCACTGATGTTATGACATGTGGGGGGAGATATAAGAAGGTAGCCGACCAAGGAGTTTTTTATAGATGAAAATGTACCAGTTTGAGAGCCTATGTGTAGATAGCGATGACCAACTGACCAATGGGTGCAGAGTGCAGTGATGGATATGGTAGTTACAACCAGTTATGAATCTTAGAGCACCATGGTAGACAGAATCCAACATCTGCAAGGAGCTGGCAGCAGGGGCATTCATGTAAATAATGTCACCATAATAAATGTCTGGTAGGAAGGTAGTGGTTACAAGGCGTTTCCAGACATTCAGAGTTAAGCAAGATCTATTTCTGATAAAGAAATCCAGTTTCATTTCAGTTTATTTATCAAGCTTTCAATATGCAGCTTCAAAGAGAGGTGTGCATCGATTAAAATTCCTAAGTATTTGTAAGAATTCAATAGGAACACCAAGCAGGGATGAGATGGGTGAAAAACTGCTGGCACCAGCTTTCTGTTTGAAAACAACATTCCTTTGGTTTTGCCAGCATTTAGCACCAGTTTGAGATGGAATAAGTCTGACTGAATGATGTCACATGTAGACCGTAGAAGCGGGAAAACCTTGGCAATTATGTTAGCTCGGCAATAAACAATTGTATCGTCAGCATAGAGATGCAAGGAGGCGTCAGAAATGTTATGAGCTATATTATTTATATAAATTGTAAAAAGACTGAGTCCTAAAACTGAGCCTTGTGACACACCATTAGTGATCATTAAATAGCTAGACGCAGTACCGTTGTGTTGAACACATTAGCTCTGATCTGAGAGATAGTTAGAAAACCACCCAACAGTGTGATCTGAGAAACCAGTTTCTGAGAACTTACGACATAAGATGTCATGATCTACATTATCAAGTGCAGCACTGTAATCTTTAGCATTCAGTGCTTCAACTACATCATTAAAAACCTTTAGCAAAGTGCTAAAGGTCATTATTATGTGCTGTTTCCTGAAGCCAGATTGGTGGGAAGATAACATGTTAAAATAATACAAATACTTCTTGATTTGAATATTTACCAGTTTATCTAAGATCTTAGCTAAAATACAATTTGAAAATTGGCCTATAGTTGTTCAGTATAATGGGGTCTCCTCCCTTCACTAATGGTAGCACAAAAGCTGTTTTCCAAGCATCTGCAACAGTATTATGTTGTGTAGACTGGTTAAACATGTAGGACACTGGTTCTGCTATAATTTGTGTAGCTAGCCTTAAAAAATATGGAGGGAGGTTGTCAGGGCCTGCAGATTTTCTAGACTCCTGATCGTTTAACAGCTTAGTAACCTCACTGACAAAGAACGGTGGCAAAGAGAATGCATGATTTACTGAGGTTTGACTTGTAGATGAAGTGAGTGATTTACTTTTGGAAACTATATTTAACAAGGAACAGGAGGCAACGAAATGTCTGTTGAGACAGTTAAGCACCCCATGCTAATTTGACACAGGAATAGAGTCAACAATTACTTGTGAAGGCAGATCAGATGAGCGAATGCTGCCAGAAAGAGATATGGTTTTCCAAAATCTCTTAGGGTCATTCTGATCTGTCGTGGTCTGAGATAAATAATAGTTACATTTTGCAGCTTTAATGGAAGCCATATATTGATTCCGTAATTGACAAAATTGTATTATATTGTATACAATGATATTAAAATTTTGACAGTCTTAAAATATTGTCCCATTGGTGGTCCAGTGGCATCGTGAGGAATCCAACAATAAAAAGTGAAAAGGCAAGGTTAGGAAAATACTCATTCCAAACCATTGGTATTTGTCTGCTCCCTGGGCAAAGGTTCACTCCTTGTCGCTCTCCTTCTCCCTCAGTCTATTATATTGTGTCTTTTGCTCCATTTAGAGGGGAAGATGGTGACCAGGCTGCCGTCAGCCATGACAGATGGCAGTCTCTGTGTGTGTCTGTGTGTTTGTTTTCTCTGTCTTTGTTCCTCTGAGGAGTCTCAGCCAGGCAGGATCAATACAGTACCACCATATTATCACCACGTTTAATAAGACCTACAGATTTCTCTTTCGATGGATTTCTCATTTACATTCATCAAATGCATGAGGAAGGTCAGCGTGGTGTGTGGAAAATGCCTTATCAGGCCCACACGTTAGCATTGGATCAGGTGTGAGGATGCCTGTGTGCTGTTGTTCGGATTAGTTGGAGCAATACTAGCAATAGGTGCCAAAACCAGATTCAGTCAACCTTTATTTATACAGGTTAATCCCAATGGAGACTCATTTAGAAGAGAGACCTGAGGTGTCATCAGCCTCAGATACAATATGAGTCAGTGACGTTTTCTACCATTAGATTTAATTAAAAAAAGGAACATATTGTTTTCCTGTGTTGAATGATTTATATTCTGAATGTCAAGTGATCTTGAGAGAATCCATGAGAATTCAGCTCATGACAAGAGCCTGGTCAGGCCATGATAATGTCTCTCTTGGATAAAGATTTGCTGTAATCATGAAGTTTTGGATCACCTCAGACAATTAAGCTCTGATACGTTGTAGCAGATATGACTGTCAAACTTGTCACCTTGTCCTTATTGCTTTTGGTATCTTTTCCTTGACACTTGTTTAGATGCCAACAAATCAGTTTGTGAGATGGGAGCACGCCTTCATTTTTTGGTCTAAATACATTAAAGACATTAAACAGATATTTATTAGATGTTGTGTGGTGCAAAAATATTCACCCCCTTGGCATTCACAGTTTTGTTACATTGACACCTGTAATGGGGGTGTTTTTTTTGTGGCGGGGGGTTGTTTTTGTTTTTATACAACCTATCTATCCCCTTGACATTCAAACCAAGGTATGTACCAAATCATTATCCTTATGTCGAAGTACTTCTAAACTCTAATACTCAGACTGAGGTATGTACCGAAACATGATCCTCATGTAGAAGTAGATATTGACTCATGACCCTCATTCCAAGGTACGTACCAAACTGTGATTCTTATACCGAAGTACACACAGAACCATGACACATGTCAAGGTACCTACAGAACCATGACTATCATACCAAACTACATAGCAAACCATGACCCTCATACTGAGGTTGTAATAAACTGACTCTCATATCAAGGTTTGTAATGAACTGTGATTCTTATACTAACTTGCATACAAAACTGCGGCATTTATAGCAAGGTACTTAACAAATTTTGACTTTCATATATAAGTACGTGCCATACGCAATGCCTATAATGAGGTACAAACCAAACCGTGACACTCATAATGAATTACGTACCAAACTTTAACCCCCATACCAAGTTATGAAGGGACATGTGACCCTCATACTGAGGTACAAACCAAAGTGACCCACATGCCGAAGTGCACACAGCACTGTGACCATCATACCAAGGGACATTCAAATTGTGACCCTCATGCTAAGGTACGTACAGAATCGTGATGCCATACCATGGTACACCCAAACCGTGACCCTTATACTGAAGTACATATCGAACCTAAAAAACTGAGGTCATAACTGTGACTCCTTGTAGTGAACCTGATCTCATGTCAAAACTGACCAGATGGACAGAGACTGTTATTTCGTTGATCTGCATCCAGAAATACAGTTTGAGCCATCTGGAGACTTTCTTTCTTGAAGTAATCAAGTAGAAAAGACAATTCTCTATGATCATTACTATTTTACAAATGTTTGATAATCAAATTGTGTTAGTTCACTCAATGTTTACAGGTTGAAGAGAACTACTCATTTTATTTACATAAACAGTAAGTAATGATTTTTATTCCTCATTCAAAGAAGAAATCAGG